ACCATCAACTGCTGAAGTTCGCTTCGTTCGCGTTCAGACTGCTCCATGATCGAACGTCGGTCCTCCTCCAGGGTCACCTGCAGTTTCGTCAGACGCCCTTGTTCCTGTTTCAGTAGCCATCGGTCCTGGCAAATGTAAGATCAGTAAAGACACTCAGGGATAGTAGCTTACACCCAAAAGGGTACTAAAAGTAGAACCAATTTGCCAAGCTGATAACAGCAGGCCAGAAGGGAGCCTGTAGCGCCTCAAGCGCGTATAGGCCTTTCACCTCTGGCTCATAGGCCACGTTAGGATTCATTTGCTCACGATTCTTGAGCGGCTGGAACATGAGCGCATTTAGCTTCGAGGGCGGTCAATCAGAGGCGGCCAAAAATTATGCAATCGCCCTATCGACTCACCAAACTGACACTGACTGGCCCTCACAGAACACTTAGCCATTCATGTTAAGGTCACCCTAATGGAAAGACGTGCGTGCAGGCCCAGAGCCGGCCGGGCATCAGTGCTCTGGCCACCAACGAGCTTCTGAACGAAATTCACGCGTTCTACTGGTGCCTTTACGTGTCTCCTCTTAAAAGGCTCTGGTCCATGATTATTGTGGTGGTTAAGGTACACCCACCATCAAAGTCATCCCAAATTGGTGACCCCGACGTGAATCGAATGTGCAACCTGGTTTAGTCTCCCTGAGGCGGCTGGATTCGATAGTTTCGATGACACAAAACCGCCTGAGATGCGACGGCCACAGGGGTGTGGCATTTGAAGACCTGATCCGATTGATGGACGGAGTATGGGCGTTTAGGTAGGCCGTGAAGATCCGTCCCAGAACAGCTTGAAATGGCACTTTATGGCTTGTTTACCGTTCTCGATCAGCCGTATCTCAAACTCAAAGTCGAGAAACACGCCTGACTAACAGCTCATTACTGGGCTATAAGTCAGCTCAGTCGACGTACCGCCGGCGGTACTTCGATTGCTCCCGATCGCAGCCGCCAGGTATGGGCCTGTGTCCTTTATGGTGGAGAATATGACGTTATACCTACCGAAGTCGTGTCTTAATTCAAGCTGTTTCCGTCAGAGGGGCTGGGCATGGTTGGCTGACAACGACGACTGTGCAACAAGACTAATGCTGCCTGATAAGTCAACGTCCTGACTACATGCAGCAAACCGAGTGCTTCTTACCCTGCACTTTGTTATCAATGTGACGACATATCCAATTACAACAAGCATCTCATGGGCAGGTGATTGGGTAGTTGGAACTTCGAAGTTTACTCAATCACCTTAAAGGGGCCCATTTGAGCGCACGTTTTAGGCCCTCGGCCTGGATGGGTTGCAATTTGACTGACCATAACGAAAAGGCCAGAAATGTTCCATCTGGCTAGTCTGTCGGGCGAGAAAACACATTCAGACAAGTCTGTCCTGAAGGCTGCAAACTGATGGGATAACTCGTTCCTTCGCAGGACTGAGAGCCAGGCTGCAATGGCTCCTTCTTAAAGCACGCAACTGATCCCAAATAAGTACGTTCTACTTGTACCAAACATGCACGGCGCTTGGAGTTTAAGCAGATTGATCGATCGGCCAGTCAGTTTGAGAATTCCAGGGGCTGAAATCCGTGCACATCAACTGTCATTAAAAGAAAACTCACGAGAGCATCAGATCATATTTTATTGTCTAGACCGAGTAGGGTCAGCTAGTTGGAAAAGCACTCAATTATTCTGATCTTAGACGAGGAGTTACCCGCAATTTCTAGTCTGGGAACTTCAAGAAAGTGTAAGGTCGGAAAGAGGGACTAGATTTCATCCTGAAATCCAGTTAGATCAGGGCGTCACTGTTACATGGTGCATGAGTTTCGCAATCGAAAATAAAACGGCGTGAGTTCGTGGCGTAACAGTTAAGGCATTTAATTCAATGATCAACGCGACTGGGGCTCAAAAATCAGGTGGCTCTATGCCGGGGCTGGTTTATGGGTACCGGGTGACGGCTACTAAGCCAGAAATAGCCATTTCAATCTTCTCACTCAGCGCCGATAAAACTTATCGATTAATGGCGATTTCCGTTCAGTTTACGCTGTCATATACAGCTAGCACTTCCTCATTCAGGCATTTGAAAATTGATCTAAGCTCCTGGTTTGAAAATCGATAACGGCAGTTGGGAATCGGAGACCGCGCGAACTTCCCGGTATGGGAAATCGATGCGCTCGGCTACTGAAGAAAGATCAGTGGGTGGGAGGCGCAAGGTTTGATAATAATCTACCGACCACCATGCAAGTTGCCTTTGCACAAAATGCTCTAATCAGGTCTGGTTGTCTAAAACCTCTCGTGGATCGTATACATTAAACAGGGTAACTGGCTCGTCTATGTAGATCAAGATGGGCTGCAATGTATGGGGGATGCGCGGTTGGAGAAAGATATCGCATCGGCCCTGTGGTATAGTAGCTTAATATGGAATGACGGTCAGTGATTCCAGTTCAGAAATAAAAATACGAATTTTATCACTGTGTACCTCTACCGATCTTCTGTAGCTTACGATGAAAATATGTTTAGCAAGTGTTTGTAGACAGTGAGTAAACACTCTAATAAGAAGAACGAGAGAATTTCTTTACCGAGTCATTAAGTGGGAAAAAACCCGAAAGGTCCTTTGGGGAGGGGGGGGGGGCGAGAAGGAACTTACATCCGCTAGGAGCTTTGACTGTTCTCTAAGTTGCACTTCAAGCTTGGCGACCTGTTCGGTCAAGCAGTGGTGGGCACTTTCAAGATCCTTTTCCTGAATTAAAAAAGATAAACGATGCATACAGAAAGGTAGGCTCCGACAGAAAAAGTTGCTGTAGTAAGTTTGAAGGCACCTCCTCTCGATCAAATGAACCCAATTTCCAGTTGGAAATTCACGAGAAGTTCCACCCGTCTTGCGAACAGAATCGAGGCTAACGGACAGTGAAATAAGGGTGGATATCAACCGGGACAGAATACTGTTCTGTCAAGAGAATAACTAGGCCGAGCCGCCCATCCTGGGAGGCTGTGCGGGGGGCCGAATGATGTGTGGGAAGGCGCAGACCGGTCAAAAGGTCTGAAAGCGTGTGCTGTGCCAGCGTCAGTAAACCATTGCCCTCGCAGCCTGGTATGCGCTGGCAGTTCCCCAACACCTAGTTCCCTGCCGGTAGATGTGCTTGCGCTCCCGCTGGACATACAGGTAGTAGTCACGGCTGCCTAATCACCCTCTTCCTTCTGACCCCTGTCGGCATACCGAGTTAACTGAATTATTATAGAATTACGCTGTATGATTATTGGTTTTACAGCCCTTTTTGATTAACCTCTTCGAAATGGAAGCACATTTCGGAATTTCGGTTGACATTTCATGAGTTAGCCCATCTACTGTACCACGCCAAAAGTAGGCCATACCCTACCTGGACGCCCTCGTGATCGTCCAGTGTCGTGGACGGAACCGAATACGTCGCATAGTTAAGAAGGTCTGCCAACACGAAACAGTCATATGGGAGGCAAGCATTGACGGTAGAGCATGCTCGCTCTTCACCCTGCACGTAAACTTCTGTTCGCATACGTTAAAATGTGTTCTGATTGATCAGGTCATGCTGTTCAGGCTCAACTTATTGGCTTTAATGGCTTTCCAAACGACCATCTGAGCCTGCAGATACGGCAGAAAAAGATAATCCACGGATAAAGCTTCAATAACAGTCATTTTGGGCTCACAAAGACTGAATATATATCTCACGGTCGGTCAGTTTTCCTGCCATTGTTAGAAGCCAATTCCTACATCCCGGGTCTTTCCTCCTTCCAAAGTTGTCTCTGTTGAGTACGGGTTGTGGCTAACCAAAATTACTGTCGAAAGTAACATCTAATAGAATCAGTGATGGAACCGCATGTATTTTTTGGATTTAGCCTTCAAATTCGCATAAAAAGTCCACCGATAAGGGAGACAATAGCAGTGATGACGAATATAAAACAAAAACATATAGACAGGCAATCAAACACTAACTGGTTAGGCCCCACAGCAACCATCTGATATCTCAGGAGCGGAACTGTGTCGAGACGCTCTTCAAAACGACTTCAGACGCACTGGAGCAGTCGGGAATAACAGATAAGTTAGGTTAAAACTGCCCGTCATTAAACTATACAGAATGATCGCACAGAACATCCTCACAAACATGCCTTCTCACTCGCGCTTGGGGCACGCAGTGAAGAAAACATGCACAACTATAGCGTGTCACGTTATGAGAGCTACTAACCGGAGTTCCATGGAGTTGTGCGTTGGAATTTCACAAAAATAATGCGTAACTGATCTTTGAAAGCAAAATATCGGTTAGACTTTGGTGAAGAATCGAGAATCACACATGCACACACGAGGGGGATTAAGCGTCTCAATCCTGTCCACATCTAATCAACAATATACATCGATCTCCCACCGCCATTCAGAGCTTTGCCTAAGCAACCCACTCAGAAACAACGGTTTCTGATTGGTTCCAACGTCACCTAGGCTCCGGTAAGTACTGCGATGTGTTTTGTGAGATTGCCTAGCCCTGATTGGCAGAGACGATTGAAGCAAAAAAAAACTAACCCTGACTCGCAAACGTTCCTCCGCCTGACGCAGGGCCTCCTCCCTGCGTTCCAGCTGGCCGATGCGCTGTGCAGCCGCCACCTGCCGCTCATCCTCACCCTTCTGCAAATCGCCCGCAGCCCGGACCAGCTGCTCCAGCAGATCACGCAGCGATTGGGCACTGGGTTGCAGTTCGGAGATGGCTTTGCTTTCCTCCAGCGTGGCCTGTCGAAGGTTTGCCAGGGCCTGTTGGTTTTTGGTGAGTAGGGCCTCCATTTCAGCGCTAGGGTGACGCAGAAGGACAATCAAGAAGTAAAACGGTGTCTGGTCTAGTAATGGCATGGTCTGAGACTGCCTGGAGCGTTTGTCGTGTGATGATGACTCGCGCTATAAAACCATTCAAGAGGATCGTCCAAATGAAGCGGCTGGTTCGCGTCCAGACCAGATTGGTGAATGTCGGGCCCAAGTAACTTCTGGTATTCAAATGCTAAAATTGCCTCTGATATAATCTGTCCTAAAGCGAGCTAATAATCCGGTCAACCAGAAGTTTATGGACCGAACAAGAATGACGCCCTTCTAGGTCAAAAGGTTTGTAAACGTGTGCTATGCCAGTACCAGCAAACCATGGCCCTCGCAGCCTGGTATACGTTGGCAACTACCCGACACCTGATTCCCTGCAGATAGATGCGCTTGCGCCCTCACTAGGTATACAGGTGGCTGGCACGGCTGCCCAGTCACCCTCGTCGCTCTGGCCATTGTTGGGATGTTGTTGTTGTTGGCGAAAAATTCTGGTAATTTGCTGTGTGGTGTAGGGGGTGTGGGGGCACGCTTAGGTACGGCTCCAACCTTGCCAGCCACCTGCGCCCTCCCCCCACTTCCGGTCTTCTTGACTCTGTCTTGACACCGGGCCCAGGTGGGGAGTGGGAAGGAGAGAGTGCGGTAGATGCTGTGCAAGTCCACTGTCACTTTAAACTAATTCACGTGCAAGTCACCGTCCCTGCTCAATCTTGCTGTGGAGCACACGGTGGACATCGTCGAAACCGACGGTCGAACTCTCGTGTGACAAGAATCACCCTGTAGGACAGGCGGTTTTTGTGCTAAATTTCAGGAAGGGTACACGTTCTCGTGTCCTAACCCCAACCCAAACCGTAACATCAGCAGTGACTTGAACTCCGACCCTAACCTTAACCCTGAACACAACCCCATCCCTTACCCTAACCTCCCTGTTACTTGGTGCGATGTCATTTGTAATACGGAGAGGCGCCAAGTCTCGTGTCCTACCGGACGATCAACCGGGAGTCGAAAATCAAGATTGACGCGGTGGACGCGATTCCGAGTTTCGGGGAATTTTGCTCCGACATGGGCAGCATGCCGAGTTTCGACAACTGGAGCGACCACACTCAGTAAAAAATGACTATTTACATAGAAGGCCTTTTTCCTACTGATTTTCAATGCCTTCATAAGTTCAAAAATATTAATTAAAAATATGCATAAAATATTCCTTCCTTTTGATAATAAAATCACTTTTTTTTTCAAATTTCGTACTCAACGAAAGAGTATCTCTCAATTTTAAAAGCGTTTATAATTATGAGATTTTTAAGGCTATGCAATATGCATTCAGATATTATTGTATCTATCTGTTTAATAATGGCCCTCATGAAGTATACAACATAGTCCATATCCACTGCAAAATTTCGTGAGCCCTAAATGGTATCTACTTAGCGGCATAAAGGAATCGGTTTTTCCTCACGCCTAAAGTTTACAGCTAGTAGGCTGAAAATTCTAAGCCCAAATGCAACGGCAGATCGGGCTCACGATTCTTCTGGAAGAGGGAAACACTTTAAAACCGAAAGATACCCTTTCATGAGGTTGGTCACTGAAGATACAGTATATGACCTAATTCATGAAATGTAACGAACTGTACGAATAATTGCCAATCACTCGCAAGCCGACACCAATTCATGGAACCAATATCTATGTTAATTTAGTACAACTTTGAAAGAATTAAAAACATAAAAGAACTACTAAATCGACATGCCGATTTTTTCTAGAAGAGCGTAAAATCCCGAAAACGTCAAAATGGCTGTAATTTGGTAAACTTAGTTTTCAGCTATGAAAAATGTCCTCTCGAACAGAAAACGGAGTCATTGTGAAAGCACAAATGAAATAACGTTTAAAGACACTGTTCTAGTGAAGTTTACATCTAGAAATCCCTTAAGAATTACTGTAATTTCATATATTGCGGTTTGTCGACAGCCTAAATTCGGAGTATGGATTTCAAGACAGTCTTCCAGGGATTCTTAGTATTCTTGACTCGTTTGAGTTGAATGAGATGCGGTTCAACAAGAAAAACGAGATTTGGCTTGATTTCACCGTCGTAGGAACAACCATTTTCATAAGGCTACATGCTGCCAGGTCGATCGGTACCTAATAAATCTAAATAGAACTGACAGACGTGATCGTAAACAAGTCAACTCTAGGATTTTTGAACTCTGGCGCTGCACAGCCCTTCAACAGTCAAAAAAATCAAGAATATGCAACGCCTCAGCCGACTCAAAGACCACGATCTTGCAAACCCTCCTAAACACTGTGCTTATGTCGGCCGCACAAGGAGACGCCTGGTAAAGAGGGTGCGTGAACATATGCCCTCCTGGCTAGATAGAGGTGAGAACCGGTCGATTTCGAGTTCTATTCTCGCACATTTAATCGATACGGATCACCGAGTCGATACCAAGGAAGCATTTTAGGTTGTCTATCGGACACCAACATGCTTCTCTAAAGGCCTACGCGAGCGGATACTAGCAACGGCCGAGGCAGTAGCTATAAGGCTAGCGAATCCGGTGTTATGCTGTCAGAAAACCCTGACACAAGCGCTCTCTCTGCCGTGGCCAACGCCAACCCCAAGTGATGATGACATGCCGCCTCAAATCCCTAGTTACAGTGATGAGTACTCCGTGTACTCAATCCAAGAACATCACTCAAAGACTCTCTTACCCCCCTCCCCTAGCTCTGAGGACCAACACCCGCCAACCTTGTCATGCGGGCGGCGTGGGGATGATGAGTGTTAGTGACTTAATAGCCCTTGAGGCATCTATAAACACTGTTGATTTTGTACATTTTACTTGCTTCATGTAATTGCATTGGCCTGAGGTAGAATAACCGAAAACGCGTGTTTGCCAACTTGACTTTCATAATACAACAATTCAACAGATACACCGACAGGCAGGCGTGTTAAAAACAGTCTCTCACCTGTGCTCGGCCCGAAGCGATTGGACAGTCTTGGTAGCATCACTCTTCGCCGCAGCGACGGTGGTCACCAATTCTGTGCGCAGTGTCTCGTGATACTGCTCCATTTGAGTAATACGATCACGAAACTGACCGATGCTGAATTCCATCTCCTCCTTCAGGCTGAAAGAGAATTCACTTGACTGAGGTCAAGAGGAAGTGAGGAATTGAATTGGACCAGGAGACGCGTGTGAGGGGACTGCACCCGATACTTTTTGAAGTAGGCGCTAAAACCCCGTAAGGCCGACCGACATTTCATAAATAGACCCAGTATCACTTAAGGCAGGATTGTCGTCTAGCCATTTCATTGAATTGATTTACTGGTCTAGCGAGGAATTGCCGAAAACAATCGTTTGCCAGCCTGTCAGCCAATAACTTTTTAAAGAAGAAACTGTGCTGCGTCCAGAATCTAAGCTCTGAAAGGAGTAATTTTCAAATATTAACAAAAAATGGCGCTGTGTCCGTAAATTCTGGGAAAAAGGCTAGATTTTTAGAGGCATCGGAAGTTACTTGAGAACAAAGTACATGAGTTACCCATTTAAAAACCCCTAAGTGAAACAGGTGGCCGGAAACATAATCAAACGAAGGCATGCATGCCGTCAGGTATCAATCGACCACTTGCTTGAGTTTCCTTCCAATCAGTACCGTCTCCTTGCTAAAGTAATATTCTACATTTGAACAGAATGTGCGACGATTAAAGTCCACCTTTCATGAATTTTGTTGCTTACTGAAAACGAAGAAGCGGGGTTCGTGGATGGTGAAGCAAGTGGCGTCCGAAACAGAGCGTTTTAATTAACGACTATGGGTTAGACCCAGGGAAAATGCAACGGTCCGGACTTCAGTTGTCCTGAAAGGAGGATGAAATGCTTGCCGAGATTTGGAACACCACGAAGGCAGAGAGTACCGCATCAGGGGTTTTTTAATTATCGGTGTTCCACATGTGGTTTCTGATGGAACTTGTATTCTCAAAGCGAACCTTTTAATGTGCTCCAAAACTAACCGGGCAAGTTAATGGAAGAACGACCACTCACTGTTTTTCCCGACGCGCGGAGTTCTCTTCTAGCAGCCGGACTTTGCTCCTAGTGAAGACAAAGAATTCCGTTACTGAAGTCGTCTACTTTTAAGTCATAAGTAGGCTTTAAAATTAATGTAAGACTAGTGCAGAAATTGTGACGGTTGGGAAAAACACGTACGCGTGAGATTCTTCAAGGAGCTTGATTTCCTCCTGGTGGTAGCGTTTGGCCATTTGAAGAAGTTTCTTCGCTCCATCCAGCTCCACTTCTAGGTGCTTTATGCGTTGAGCTAATTTGGCTTCCGTGGGATCTGGGCTATCTTTGGGCGTCGAGTTCACGAACTGGGTTAATGAAGGTGTGTCATAGAGCTGCAAGTAAAACGGCAGATTCACGGACGTCGGAAAACTGAATACATTCCAGCAAATATGACCAAACAATTCAGCAAAGACAGTGGCTTCTACGAGGTTTTACCAGTGAATTCTTGTTTGCGATCACGACCAAATTGCTGGCATTCAGAACAATTGAAAATCTAATAGGTGTTTTGGCAGATTTTGAATAATTTATTTTGATCCATCTACAAAAAAACTCATCAACCTCGGTGGGATTTAGACTCACGACAGCATGCAAAAGAGTTGAGTACAGCCAACGGTCTAGTCTGCTCCACTGGGAGCCGTGAGTTTGATCACATTTGGGTCAAGTTACCCGCCCAGCCCGCTGTAACGTATGCAATCCATAAAATCTGATAAAGAAAGCTGACTTTCCAAGCAGGGTTTTCTAAGTAAACGACCAAGAATACATCAGATATCTGCAAGGCTCACGTAATAAGTAAGCGTTTTGGCAAATTCCGGATGAATTAGTTTGACCCAATTGCGATTAAACTCACGGCTCCCGATGGGGCCTCACATCTCAGGTAGCTAGGGCGTTGGCTGTACTAAAGCCTCCGCCTTGCTATCGTGGGCTTGAATTCTACCGAGGTCGCCGGTATTTCAACAGTTGCGTCAAAATAAATTGAAAATTTGTTGTTGAAATGTGAAAAATGAAGCCATACAGTATACACCAAGGACTTGAAAAACTGAAAAAGTCGTTAAGGAGACCTGCACAGATAAAACAATTTTCGAGAGGAATGACATTTAATTTCATGCCCACTACCATGCCGCAACATGCTGGCTAACCTTTGGTCAGATGTGGTTATGTAGCCCCACCTGAGGTAAACAAACCCCAACCACCGGTAATACGGGACCGGTGGCAATAGGGGTTTTTACAGTGGGGTCGGGGAACGAACAGGCGACGGGCTCATGTATTTGTATGCAAAAGGAAGCCTATTGGGAATGTGCGGTTGTACTTTTGGTGGTTGAAAAATAGTTGCCCTACCCCCTGACCTCTAACCCTAACCCCCTAAATCCGACACCAACAGTATTGTGTCCATCAGGTGGGGCTAGATAACCACATATTACCCGACCCTTTTTACACTCAGGATATTACCTCTAAGCAGTATGAAGAGAAGTGTGAAATTTTTACCAAAAATATGCTCAGAAAACGGTCTGGATACTCTGGGAAAGATCGTAATTGCCGGCCAACTTTCGAAGAATTCAGATTAATGAACTAATTTAATGCTAAAATATTCCCCTTCCTTCAATTATTAATATTCAAAAATATACAATGACAGATAAGGCACCGTGCGACAGGAACTGTTTGAAATTTTTTCTGATCCCAAGTCCTTGGACAAATTTGTCAAATTTACGGGAGAAGTAAACATTACACAGGTAATTCATAATAGATCGCCTAGGTAATTTGACACTGACATCTAACCAGTCAGAGCTCAACCCCAATCGTGATGGGGAACCAATAACTGAGACGAAATCTACAGACAAACATAGATTAGATGTACCATTAAGCCCAGAACCCCTCTATACTAATTGAGGACAGCATAGCAAGAGAGATGCTTTGACCATTCATATCGCCAACAACGCGAAGAGAGATATTTTTTTACTTAAAAAGCACTGCGTCTCATTTTGAGGATACCTGAGTGCTCGTATGGAATGTGGCTCCACCTAATCGTTACGACAAAACTTACCCAATTATTTTACGGTTTGCCCAGTAGCAGATTGAGTAATGCACTATGTGGTAACGGTTACAAAACCCTGACAGTAATATTAACGTTAAAAGTAACTTTTCCCCAAGCTCCACATGCAGCCAATGTATAAAGCTACCGGTAATGGTAGTGAGGCCCTAATGCTAGTGTTTGCGTTGGTGCTAGGTTTGGGATTAAGGTTAGGGCTGGGGTTAGTGTTGGGATCAACGTTAAGGTTTTAGTGTTGGGTTTATGGGTCAAAGGCGTCCTGCCTACCCATTTCAAGAGTGGGACTAAATACGATACCGTCGTCGATGTTTGTTCAGCAGCTAATAGTCGTTTATTTGTCCTGCTACATATTATACCTGATGCCGTAGGAACGTTAGGACATTGAATATAGAAAACACGTGCTTAAATGTTATTCTAAGTACTCCATCTCACTTATTTATTTTTACTTTCTCGGTTTGAATAGGATTCGGCATCGTATACATTTTTGCTTCTTATTGATTCCAAAAAATGTTTTTTTTCTTCGGAAAATTAGCATTAGCCTTGCTAGGACTGTGCACTCCTGTTTTTACTTGAGATGCATTGTTTTGATTGGTTGTCTTTATCAATGCACTGTGGCAGAGGGCGGTTCCCGAGCAGATTGCATGACTGGTTGAAAGTCTTGCAGTGAATAGATTTGGTTTAAGCGACAAGAGCCTCTTCGTGGGAATTATGGGGAGAGGAGCATAGACCAATTATTACAGTAGGTGACGTATTTCATGAAATGTCAACTGAAATTCTGAAATGCGAATTCGCATAGAAAGGATTACTTAGGCGAGGGTTATATAAATGATTATCATGCAGCATAACCACAAGACATTTCAGACATGCCATGATGTCTGGCTTCTAAATACACGTCTTTCTGGTCGTCTTTGAAGATCGCATCTTCCAGAAAACGGTTATTTGAGTAGAATGGACTTCTTTAATTGATTTCCGACGCCTTTAGAAATCCAAGCATATCTTATAAAAAATAAATGTACAAAACTATCCTTTCCTGATGTGCTACGACAAATTACACCTGCCCCAAGTCTTTTATCAGAAGGAAAGGCGTGTTTCAGTTTAAATAAGCTTTCAATTGCCAAACAGTCTGGGACCCCACCTACCGTTGCACGTGCTTTTCGGGTTTCCAAACCGCAAATGCTACATCTGGCAGGCGTGGCTGCGACATGAATTCTTGGGTTGTGTACATTTCCTACTCTGCATAGTCTGTTTTAACAGGGCATTTTAAATGCCAAAACTGCCGACTATGTTAATCGCTTCCTGTACAAAAATGACCCTTAAAACTAGAGGGCTATCACGTGCACATATGACATAATCGAAACAGCAGGCAGAATAGTCAAATTGGAGCAGCGAGGGCACGTACAGCAGGTATCACTGAAGCTGATTTGCGAGTTTCATTCACAGGGGATTTGTCCTTCACCGCCCCCCTCGCGGTTGCTGGGCGCCTGGAAGTGCCTGCCTAGAAATGGGGAAAAGTTAGTGTTAGGAGTAATTCCATCTGTCAAGATGGAACGATGTCAGAGAAGGGTGGTGGGATTAGGACGCGAGAGGTAGCCCAGTTCTCTTTCTTCCCCTTGTCTTAGCTCTGTGACTACTCCGACTGCATAAATGGTCCTTTTAGAGCATGCAGGCAAATTATTTCGCAGCCATATTTCAGGATTATGAACCCCTTCGGGGAGGGGGAGATCCCGGGAAAACTGCATTAACCGTCTGCTGTCTGGAGCAGTTGGAACTATTGTCCACTGTCAAGGGCTGCAATTTATGACAATAGAATACCGAAGCAAAAAGCACCTTAAATCTATCATCCCCGGTGCTGTTGGCAGGACGGTGGTGGTGGTGGTGGTGGTGACATGGCTGATTGGTGCAGTCATCACGACGTTTGTCAGCTCACCGGATAATGGGTCATTTTTACCCGATTAATTGAAGTAGTCGAGTCATCCCTGCAGAATTCCGCCTTTTCTTGCCCCGGTCGTCATACCCAGGATTTCTTTTATCATCCCGACTGCACTTATCACATCATTAGAAAATGAAATGTAAAACAAATCTCCCAATAACTTTGTTTCAGTAGGTATTTTTCACCTTCGATGAAAGATCGTTTTTCCGATATCTGCAATGATGCACCTGTAGTCGCCTGACAATTGGAATCACGCAAACGACGAAGAAAACTGCGCTATCCACGGCATGGGCACAATACCAGTGACGTGAGACTTAGCAAGTTTACAGTGAGGCAGACTTACGCGGCATCTAACGCATTCTCGCCTCCTAGAACCATCCTGCTCGATGACAAGACAATCTCAAAACAGCCGGAGGCGGGATTGGTCGCAGATGTTGGCAGAGCTGAACAGCCCATCTACACGTGCCTCACCACATGAATCAATATAGCGCCCCTATCTGCTTAAGGGGTCATCGAAGTTATATTTGGCGTCCTACCCCAGAGGACTGATGATTGTCCTCGGCCGAAAAAGTTTTCACGTATCAGAAGAAATTCTTAGCAAAGGAAGGAGGCGATCGTTCAAGACTCCCAAAGCGGGTAAATACAGTGTTGGGGTTATGTTTAACCTCTATCTGCATCAATTAAAAGGCCCTATCTGCATGTATAATAATTCAATGAGGAGATTCGCAACTGAAGTGCATTTGCAAGGACAAATGTGTACACAGAGAAATCGGGCAGATCACGATAACTATGCATCTGTCGTTGTTGCCTTTGAAGTATTACTTCGAATGCGAGATTGTGACCCAGTAGAAACAATCATAAAACACCTTCTTTTGCGATTCCACCTGTAAAAAATACATAGAATTAAACATTGACTGCAAGAGCTAAGACGCGATTGGATCATCGTAAAATGCCAGGAGACTGTTTGGCAGTCCATTTGGAGGAAACTAACAAACCGCAAACCCTGTTGCAAGTGGAGGTCGCTCTGCCCCGCCCTTAATCGGAGTCCAGATTTCGTCCGTGGCTCCCCAGACGCTGTGTCCCACGCAGTGGCCATACCGCGGAAACCGCTTTCATGCAAAAAATTTATCACATCTGACGAGGATGTCCATTCACACCCACTAAAGCTATCTTCGAAAATATCAAAGAAGAGGTAGCAGGAACGCATAGTGGGCACAAAAGTGATGGAGGCTAGTGTCTATGCTCTGCTGAAGAAAATTCAACTGCGGCGGAATAGCCACGTTGTGAAGAATGGGAATGCGCGGTTGTACTTTGAGTGGCTGAGAAATAGTTGTCCTAACCCCTATCCATGACCCCTAATCCTATCCCTTAGTCGTAACCCCTAACCCTAACCCCAAACCCTAACCCTAACCCCGAACACACACCGCAACGCACAGCAATGCCATGCCAACCTAACTCATAATAATTAAGTAAGTCAACAGTATTGTGTCCAGCAGGTGCGGCTACATGACCACATCTTACCAAAAGTTGGAATGACGCACACCAACACTCGAGTTCCTACTGTCAACGCCCACTCGGGACAGGAATAGGTCCTTCTGAGCACCTTTGGTTTCACCCCAATGTCGCCACTACCAACTCGAGCCATGCACAACCAAGCATCATCGTTACCACCAGCTTTAATCACTGTGGACAGTTCTCCCGCCTTGTCGGTCATCCTCGTTCCAGTCGCCACAGCGACGTTGCCAGGACCCAAAGGACGTTAATCACGACGCGCATTAAAATCGCAGCGCGACGGAAGAACTAGTTCCTGGAGCAAATTCACATGCACGATAACATTACAAACAATATCATCCATTATTACCTCGAGTTCTCTGCGTCCGCGCCTACCCAACCGCCGCGTAGACATTTCCGGCAAAATGCGAACTCACTATAGCAATCCACTTATCACATTTGAACTCTACAGTAAGGTCATCCAAGTCCCTAAAACGGGGCTACGCGGTAGATGTACTGGACCAACACGACGACTAGGTCAGGACATGGCAGACAGCGCGCCCAAAATAAATTTTACAAGTGGGAGGGGAGTGTGATGACACTCCTAGGTGCAGGCTCCCGCTGCGCCAGCCACCTGCGTCCCCTCTCACGCCCCCGATCTTCTTGATTCTGTCTTGACGCCGGCCTCAAGTGGGTGAGGAGGAGAAGAGAGTGAGGTAGATGCTACGAAAGTCTGCTACAAATATAAACTCATCCCCGTGCAAGTCACCGTCCCTGCGCCCACCCTGCTGAGGGGGGGGGACAGAATGGACATCGTCAGAACTGACGCTCGAACTGTCAGTGGCCCTCAACGTCAGTAATGACCGACGAAATATCCAAATTGGTTGTACGCGCGTGCTTAACAAGCGAAAGGCGGAGGCCCTATGCCACCCGAGCCACCGCGCCCATTATTGTCACTGGTTGGCTGGACAGGCCCGGAAATTTCACAGCTAAAAGATGAGGGAAGAGAGAGTGAGAGAGAGAGAAAGTAGCGGTCGCTGGACAAGCCTCCATCGCAAATCGGCACATCCCCTACTGGAATAACTTCAACGCGCCTGAATCTATCACGCAACAAAAGCCGTAGCTTGGAAGGTTGCCAGCTGAGGAGATAAAACAGTCTCCCGTGAAACGAACAGTAGACTGCAATGCCTCCTCGATCTGCCCTTTATGTTAGGTCACATACAGTAGGTGGGCTAATTCATGAACTGTCAACCGAAATTACGAAAGGTGTTTTCGTTTCGAAAAAATTATAAGTAGGGTTGTAAGACTATTCGGCCTACAACATAATTCCATAATATTTCAGTTACCCCAGGATGTCGGCTTTCGAATGAACTTCCTTCCGGCTGCACACAAAAATGTATATAAAAATGGCTATCTAAGTGGCATGTATTTTCTCATTGATTTTTGATGTCCCTAAATGTCCAATTATAATTCATAGAAAACATGCATAAAACCATTCATTCTTTCTCTCAGTCGGTAGATAATTACGTCTTCTTCAAATTTTATGCTCGAAGGAGGGACATAATTCGGTTTTAAAAACGTTTCGAATTGTAGGACTTTTAAATACCGTGAAATGGCCGTTCATGAAACGTCACATCTCTGCATTTACCAATGTGGCTTGTAAAGTGAATGATATGGATCAAATCTACTGCTTAATTTTACGAACCCTATATGGTCCCCGTTTATTATAATAGAGAAATTTGTGGTTTTCAGTATGCCGACAGTATACGGCTGGTAGTTTGGAAATCCTGAAACCAAGTATGACGGCAGAGCGGGTCCAAAATTATTCGGGAATCGGAAAACTTCTTTAAAACCGAATTATGTCCCTCCTTCGAGCATAAAATTTGAAGAAGACGTAATTATCTACCGAATGAGCGAAAGAGTGAATATTTTTATGTAGGTTTACCATGAAATATAATTGGACTTCTAGGGGCATCAAAAGTCAATTAGAAAATGCATGCTCCTTAAACAGTCAGTTTTATATACAGTGTAGTTTTTGCATGCAGCAGGAAGGAAGTTCATTCGAAAGCCGGCATGCTGGGGTAACCGAAGTATTATGGAATTATGTTGTACGCCAACTAGTTTTACAACCCTATTTAATTAATTTTTCCGAAAAGAAAACGCCTTTCGGAATTTCGGTTGACATTTCATGAGTTAGCCACCTGCCGTAGCTCAGCAGAGGAACGGAGGTATTTTAAGTCCGATGTTATTCTAGGTCTGATTTCGAAATAAGTTTCTTAAGGTTGTGGGCACGATCAGGTGAAAATAAGTGGAACTTTGAAAATAACTTGAAAATCTTGTCAAAGTTTGCTGTGTCAACTAGGCATTTGTCGGTAGATCTCTAAAAGCATTTCAGGGAGGCAGTCAATAATATAGCCTGAGCTTAGAGGAAAACGTAACTGACAAATCGGAAAAATATAGTTCCCCGGGACTAACTACCTTTGTTTTATGGTTAAAGATATTTAAGCCAAAAGTTTGATTTTGTACTCCGCTGTGCGTAAGGAAACTTACCACGAGTGAATTAGCGTTTTTCGGCGTTGACGTCTCGCCTAAAATTGTAAAAAATGATAGAAAACAGGGAAAAAGAGAAGATTTTGGGCAATCACGAATGCAAACCACCCGACAGGACAAGGCGGCGATAGGAGTTGACCTCATGAGCTAAAAGCGGCCCGATGAGCACACTAAGGAACTAAAACCCAACGCTGGGGACGATAATTCACTTTTGTCAATGGTCGTAAATTTTTTTATTTATGGGTCGTAGACCATCCTTCGCCGGCACTCGAACGTCATCTGTTGTCCTGGTTCCGTGACAATTAACTGACCAACCGCAAATACGAGGCTTATTGAGATTAACTAGTGTCGACGGTCCCTATGTTGGGACCGTAAAGTAAACTATCTGGCTGGGATTAAAGACTCCCTGGACTCCAGGCAGAAATATTCGATGGAAAATTTTCTCAAGTAGGTTCGTTCTGGAGGAATATATTTCCAATTCCACATTTTGACCCTAGAACGACAGCCAATAGAGACGTAGCTTTTCGACAATCGTGTAACCAAACTTGCCTTACCAAGTCAGTTGTAGTTTAATCAACACAAATTCGCTAATAAAGCATTGTTGGAGAGTCCACCTCAAATTCCAGGATTGTCATTAGTGTGCGAAAACCGCGGTTTTGGATAAGTACGGGAATATGTATTCCCCTCATTACAGGTACAGTAGGTGGGCTAACTCATGAAATGTCAACCGAAATTCCGAAATGCGTTCTCGTTTCGAAAAGATTAATTAAGTAGGGTTGTAAAACTAATCAGTCTGCAGTATGATTCTATAATGAACCAGTTACCTCTGGGTGTCGGCTTTTGAATGAACTTATTTCGACTGAATGCCAGAACTATACTCTGCAAGAAATGACTTCTTAATTAGCATGCAATTTTCTCGTTGATTTTTGATGCCCTTAAACATTCAATAATGTTTCATGGAGAACATGCATAAAAATATTCACTCTTTCACTTACCCGGTAGAAAATCACGTCTTTTTCCTATTTTATATTCGAAAGAAGAATATAATTTGGTTTTAAAAGCTTTTCTAATTCTCGAATAATTTTGAATCCGACCTGCTGTTACACTTGCATTCAGGGTTGCAAAACTACAAGCCGTATATTTTCCGTGTACAGAAAACCATGCATTTCTCTACGGTATTAAGAGGAGACCATATGGGGCTCATAAAATTAAGCAGTGCATTCGAGCATTATTGTCACCTTTACAAGCCACATTCGTAAATGCAAATACATGGCGTCTTATAAAGAGGCCATTTCACGGTACAAAAAAATCTCACAATAAGAAACCTTTTTGAAACCGAATTATACTCTTCTTTCGAGTATACAATCGGAAGAAGACGTGACTTTCTACCGAATAAATTAAACAATGAATATTTTTATGTATGTTTTCCAAGAAACATAATTGAATATTCAAGGGCATCGAAAATCAATGAGAAAATTGCTTGTTAATTAAGTAATCATTTTTTGCAGAGTATAGTTCTTGCATGCAGCCCGAAGGAAGTTTTTCGAAAACCGGCACCCAAGGTAACTGGATCATTATAGAATTATGCCGCATGATGATTAGTTTTACAATCCTACTTAATTAATCTTTTCGAAACCAGAACGCATTTCGAAATTTCGATTGACATTTCATGAGTTAACCCACCTACTGTAGCTCTGCCATAAACTCCGGGAAGAGTTGAATTTGGGGTTAGTGCTTGGGTTAGTGTCAGAGGTTTAGAAATAGGGTTATGGTTACGATTAGGTTTACGAGGTATAGTGCTCCGTTTATCGTTTGAGTTAAAGGTAGTACACAAGAATGAGAACCCTTCTGGAACTTAGCGTAAGGCCACCCGCAGTACTGGGGGAGAGGGGACGTCCACTTTCCCGTATCCGACCAAGCGCGCTTCTCCGTAACACAATTATTCACATCCAACGGGTCTCTCGAGCAGAAATACACTTGCAGGTCCTACAGGCCTGCCTTGATAGTGAACGCTTTCCGAAGGTCGTCGTTCGTGCTTAACTGGTGACAATCCCCTTAAAAACAAATATCCTGAAACGTAAATGGACGTGGCTTGGTTAGTGAGTGCTTGACTGTTTTCCTTAGTAAATGCCTAGCTGATGTGAGACTGCCAGAAGGAATGATGTTGCGCAGATGCAAACGGGTGCTTTTGTTTGGTTGGACAAATTCCTGCAAACGACTGATGTCCCATGAAACCTTCGTTGTTAAAGAGAACTTATAGCGAAAAAGTAGAGAAGAAACCAGCTTATTTTAAATGAGGTTTGGTAATAAGCAGGAAAATAACTGGGTTTCGCGATTTCGGTGGAGTGGACATACCGCTTGTTAAAAAGCTGCCAGATTTAAAAGAAAAGGATACGCTCACCGGGATAGGTGTATTGGAGGTCTGACGTTTCGAGTAGTTATTTCGTCTACCCATCTTCAGGCGTCATTGGCGGGCCACGCATCAAACAAAGCGCGCCATAAAAGGAGAGCTGTGCGCATGAATTCCCAGTCGCTGAAGATGGGTAGACAAAGCAACTACTCGAAACGACAGACCTCCAATACACCTCTCCCGGTGAACGCCTCCTTTTCTTCTGAGCTTCCAGATTGTTTGAAATCATGTTAGTAGTATGTTGACAGTTATTTCAGTAATCCGCTAGATCGGGCTTCGGCGGTTCGGGTTGCCTTTTCCGAAACGCTTCTACGACGAATAAGTGCATTTGTCCGCAAGGCACAAGGAGCTAGGGATAGTCGAAGAAGAGAAGTTCTTATCTGACTTTACGAACCTTCTTAGCGGGGGACAGTCACGTCGCCTGACAATCGGGGCCGTCAGTCATCACCGCGGCCGACGGGGGCGATTCAGGTAACGGTGACATGCGGGTTGGATGCAGCCACACAGGCGGCATTGGCGGATCACGCATTGGACAAAGGGCGCCATAATAAGGAGTGCTGTGCACAGGACCTCTCAGTCCCTGAAGATGGGTAGACGAGTAAACTACCCGAAACGTCGGATCTCAAATAAACCCCTCCCGGTGAACGCCCACTCTTCTTTTGATATGCCACCTGGGAATCGGATTTTCACTACTATTGATGTGAATTACGAGCGCGAAGCGCTTCAACTGGCTCGTCGTTGGGAAAAAACTGTCCTCCGACAGGCCTCGACCTATGCACAGCTCCATTTCCTTCACAGATGCCTTGCCAACTATGTTATGCCAAAATGCCTCTCCTACAAGCCTCCAGTCAACACGGAATTGGCTAAACAAACGGTGTTCCGCCATAGTCGGCGAATGACAAGGGTACTCATACAAGATTGTCACCTGCGACTTAAGAAATACGCACACAGTGCTGAAAACTACCGGATGCTTGTTACACGCCGGTGTGGGGAATCGACTGCCGCCTCATTGGAGAACACATTACTAGCATTGGGACGAAAGAAACGTGCTAACAGAGATGCGGATTTATCGATAAAGTTCATGACACTGCAGACCGCACAAGAGCAGGAAACCGAACAAACGATAGTACATAACCTCTCGTCAAAACAACTAACTGTGACCCAAACAAAAGTTCTACAACGTGGATCTGGTTTTAACACAACTGACGCCCACCCGGTCACCTTCATTGCTTCTTTCGAATCAGTGCTTCGTCAAACCGGCGCCACAGACGAGGTAAAGGACCTCCTTCGACATCAAGTCTCTTCACTTCTCATGTCGCACCGGAAAACCCATGCCCTGCTAAGAGATGAACAAAAGGCCCTAAGGGAGCTGAAAGCGGACACCGAAATAGTTATTCTACCTGCTGACAAAGGCCGGTCAACCGTCATCCTCGACAAGGTGGACTACCGACGCAAAGCCCTCCTGCTCCTCAACGATCGAGAGTCCTACAAAGTCAGCGACGCCGCCAGTCAAAAGTCCCTAGTGGCAAAGGTTAACAGAACTCTGGCTCGACTAAAAAAGGACAAGGTCATCACCGTCAAAGACTGGTATATGGCAAAGCCCGCAGAAACCGCTATGGCGAGATTCTATGGTCTCCCAAAAGTACACAAGCCAGATGTTCCCCTCCGTCCTATCGTCTCGCTCCGAGGCACACCCACATACGGGCTTGCAAGCTGGCTATTTCAGAAGCTAAGATTCCTAACTGCAGGCTCACAAACAACGGTGCACTCAGCAGAACAATTCCTTGACAAAATAAGGGCAGTCACGATCGAACCGAATGAAAGGATGGTGTCTTTTGACGTCGTCTCACTCTTCACGTCCATACCACAGACCCTTGCGGTCGAAACGCTCAGTGACCTGCTACGTCAAAATTACGACGGAGGCGATGGCCAGCCCACAGCTCAGGATCTCATAGAACTCATGGGGCACTGCCTCAAGACATTCTTTACCTTCGAAGGGACCACATACGAGCAGATCAAGGGCACTCCAATGGGTTCACCAATCTCCGGACTCATTGCCGAGGCGGTTCTACAAAAACTCGAGAGACGACTATTCGAGGAGTACAAACCCAAGTTTTGGGCACGCTACGTTGATGACACCTTCGTGATCATAGACCAGGATAAAATCAACTACTATGCGGAAGTACTGAACTCAATCATGCCCGATCTACAGTTCACGATGGAAGAGGAAGTCGAGGACAAACTTCCATTCTTGGATGTTCTCGTCTGCCGCCAACCAAATGGCGAGCTAGCGACGTCGGTCTACAGAAAACCGACGAACACGCTGCAAATTCTCAGCTACAACAGCAACCACCCGCCACAACACAAACGAAGCTGTGTGCGCACGCTGTACCGACGGGTAGAAACTCATTGAAGCACGCCAGCCGCCTAATGACGCAGCTTTGAGTACTTTCCTTACTAAGTAGCATAAAAAAATAGATAAAGGATGAGTTGCGAATATGCGGATTTTGGAGGAGGAAGCCGACAAAATCTGAACCGCTGCACCTACCAATGGGTGATTTGTCGCCCGTTTTAGGATTTTGATCCTCAGTATGGAGAGAGAGGCCAGAGACTGCCCTTTGGAGATCCGTACGAAATTCGCTAAAAAATCCAAGCATGTGCATCGGACAACAGCAAAGGATTTGAAAAAGCCTTTGTTTGAATTTCACAACATAGTACGCAGCAGAGACACCGCTTCCCAGCCCTTTGTTGCACGTCGCACTTTATCGCGAATTCACTACAAGACTGTTTTGACCATACGTATCTAGGTGAGTGAAGTTTCAGATCGCAAAGTGTCTGAAGCAAATTAAGCATTCAAAAATGCAAACACAAGTACTCATAAAATTCGATCTGTGGACTGAAGATCGCTGTCGAAGATGGGAGTGAATTTGAATTTTATCTTGGCTGACCTTTGTTTATCCTTCGTGGTATGCTTGAGTCAGAGTCCGAAACAGAGGGAAAATATAACACTGAGCTTTAAAATTCCACTATCTTCTTGTACGCATACATATACACATAGGCAGAATATTATTACCGACAAACACAAGGGAGACTGGAATGGCCGTTTCTGGCTTGTTATCCGTTGTCACCAAGTCATACTCTTGTCTTGGTCGGTAATAACATTCTGCCTATATCATTCGTCGCTCTGCGGCTGCTGGTTGGGCTCGAAAGAGAGCCCGTAAGACACAGCACGACGAGTGAGTTCCGTAAGAACGACCGGTGAGCGCCCCTCCACCATTATATATATATAATAGTAGATGGACGCTTAACCGATCTGTTTACGGGAACGTGCTCGTCCCGTTGTGCCTTGGGGTTCCAACCATAACCAGATCGGTTAAGCGGCCATCTGCCATAATTCATATTCCCGATCACAACCGACAGGACACCGGACCCGTGGCTCAATGGTAGAGTGTCAAACTCCACGACCAAAGATCCCGGGTTCGAATCTCAAGTGATCCACACTTGGAGCTGGGTAAGAATGGCTAATGACGGCTGATAAGCCGGAAATGGCCATTCCGGTCTCCCTTGTCTTTGTAGGTACTATCTCACTTACCTCCACTACTAGTTGCTGTGCGGTTGCCTGCGAGGGTTCTAGCTCGAGTCCCAAGGCAAAACGGAACAAGCATGTTCCGCAACCTGATCGGTAAGAGTCCATTTATCATGTACACGAACATATAAATTTGCGAAATGTATATGAATGTAATATAAGTGCAGATGTAATGAAAAAGAGAAGTGATGATAAAGACTAGGAATATCAAGATGGCCATTTCTGGCCAGCCATACGCCACCCCCGGTCTGGTAGAACGTTGAATCACACGACGCTCAACAACCGAAGAACGGGGGTTTGAATCCTAAGTCACCCGGATATAACTGACTGACGACGGTTAATAAGCCAGAAATGCCATCCAGTTCCCCTTGTCCTTGCCGGTAATCTCATCTCTGCATATGTTAGTAGTCGCTATGCGACTGCCTGCGAGTGCTTTAGACCGAGCCCCAAGGCCTAACGGTACGAGCACGTCACGCGACCTGATCGATGGACGTCCTTCCACTATTTGAGACTAGAAGCACAAGCATGCACACGCATGTAGCGCAGAGGATTTACAGACAGATTCCATCAGGGGGGTTTTCATCACTCTGCTGATGACACCAGACAAACCTGCCCCATTTTACCTCGGAACTCGAGTCAAAAGCTTTTGCATGCGGTTGCGCAGCCAAAGTAAGAACGCAGACAGAACGTTAAGACAGGTCAGGGAGACTTGGATGATCTTTTCTGGCTTGTTAACCCTCATCAGTCAATCCCAAACGGACCCAGGTTGGGATAAGTCGTGGCTCGAACACGGAGCCCTTGATTATTGGTCAGTAACCAAGGCCTTCTGTCAATCTGTCACGAGTTCGCTCTCCTATCGGTTGTGATTTGGAAAATTAATTAACGTGACAGGAATATGGCCGACTGACGACGTCTGATACGCCAAAAATGAAACACTATGTAGGCTTGTATGCTTATTTGACAACTAAATTGCGACCACAATATAATGGCAATGATGGCTGGCTCAATTATGATAATCAGTTTGCCCACCAAACGGACACTACTTCCCCCTTCCGACTAAGTGGCTACCGGTTGGAGTCCTAAAACTGCAGCGACGCCTATTGGATTGCCTGTTCACTAAATGGTCATCATCTTCGCACTCCAGAGAATTTCACCCGTACCTCCCAACCCTACCGACTTACACTGCGCTCGCAACCGCGCACGTTATTTTTTGAGGCTTCTCGGCCCTCCACTTTTGGACGAAAAGTCCGCCTTGTGACATCCTTGATGTCCGTTTCTATTCTTGTCATTCTTTGCTACTAAGCGTTTGTTAGTAACCGGGCTTTACTCATACCGCCTGCCTTTGTACCCTTATTCGTCGGTTCTGGTCATTCTTTGTTCATTGTTCTTTGTCCATTGTCTATTGCTCTTTGTCGTCACTCGCTTTTAAACCGACCACCGCACTTTGGCGTCATTCAATAACTGCTCATCTAATCACCTCGGATGTACGCCCACTTTTCAATTTATTACCCGCCTTATTAACTCTATTGTGCTCCGTTAATCTTACTGTTTATTGCTATAGAACCGCAAAGAATGACCGAGTTATCCCGACTCTTCTGACGTAGCTTTGACCTCAGGTGTGTCTATTCCAGTGAATAAACCAGCACTGAATCAAGAAAATCTAAAGAATACTAACACGCCTCTCATGCCATTCTGATACGGCGACAGCTAATCTATGACAAATTGAATAGTAATCAGTAAACATATCGCTTCGCAGATGGACCTCCTCTTATTCATTAAAACCAGTTCAGAATGCATTAAACGGCAGGGGACTACTTAAAAAGTGACCCCGTCCTGTAATGGGGGGGACGTGGGAGTGGTGTGACATTGAGATTAGAAGCAGGAGGTTTTAGTGGCAGATTGTTAGTCTAGCAGGCAGGATAGTGATTCAGACAGATCCCAGATAGTCAGTCGCGGATCCATTATTTATGTCTTAGTTTAGGCGCCGGGATTCAATGAGGCAGGCTTGCTGACAAGTCGGCATATTAAATCTTTAACGACAAAACTCACAGTAGAAAATCAAAGTTGCTGTAAAAAATCTAAGACAGTCATTCAACCGTAGGCGACGAATGGGTCATCCTAAAACCCGGTTCGGCATGCACCGCCAAGACATGAAGGTGGACCCTGAATATTCTGCGAGAGGTCTTCATCGTTAGAGAAAAAACTGGGTCGAATTATGAACCTACTCTTGCTAGTAATCATGCGTGCAAGCCTACTCTCCGCAGTACCATCCAGGAATGCTGGATCGCGGATGGCAACACCTGTGCCAAGCACAAATAGGCGAGATATGCAGCTTAAGGACAACACTTTTCTAGGCAAGCAGTCGAACGGACAAAAATTATGTCAGTGGGAGATCTGGAGCCAAAAGTGTCATTTTTTCCCCATCAACAGCCGTACCAATCGCCAATTCTGTGTTATGACATTAAGTTATGTGGTTTTTTTAAATATCTGTCACGATTTGGAGAGCTAAAAGTTCCAGAGTGTCGAGACAGCCAAATCTGTCTTCCTCTGTTAAAAACGGATGATTTCCCACGCTAGTCTTCCGCATCAACTGGTTGGCAAACTCGCTTGCTTTTATGCCTGAGCAGAAAACAAACGGCGCGAAATCGACGATAAAATTGGGGCAACTTACTTTCGACTCCTCGATTTTCGCGAGGTCCAATCAAAATCGTCATTGAAATCCAATGAATTTTCCAAACCACCACTATTCCTGCCCTGCTGGGGTGCTGTTTGGGGTCGAACGGTAGGAGGTTCCACATTCAGATCCGATCGTGAAGAGGTTTTCAGCTCACCGGAAGAAAAAGACCCAGCGACATTACTGTCCTAAAAGTGAGCAAAAGGTTCAACAGTTGAGGATGGCGGGAGGGTGAGGGGGGGGGCGTTGACTCAAGTTTTTTTTCAATAAAAACATGAGGGACGCCAATTACAGGTAAGGAGCTGAAGTGGCAGGCCAAAAAACTTGGCACAACATATAACAACGGCTGGTACCATGTAAGAGTGGTTAGGACGGAATTACTGTGCACCCTGATGCCAAATCAACTTCCAAAGTGGCCCATCCGCCTGATTTGGAATGCCCAAGTGGGTAAATAAAAAATCCCATGGGGAGGAACTCCCAAGGCCTATCTTAGGAAAATTTTTTACCTACCTTTTTGAAATATCCACAATGTCGCGAATGCTTCAAAAAACGCTTTTTCCAAATAAATCGTCTTTAATCAACCCATCATGTCTACTATATAAATGTAAGTAGCAATGTAACCGGGTTAAACTACAAAGATCGTCGGACCCTGCAGTTGCCATTGATTTTAAGGTCATGGCCATATAAGCGGCTGAGTGCGAGTGTACCAGAATTTTTCTCCTATGGCAATGGCAAACTGCTCACCCTCAATTCTGGTGCATCACTGGACCACCAGGTGATCAGTCGAGGTGCACGAGAATGAATGTAAGTGGCCAGCATGTCTCGCCAATTTTCGTCCCAAAGCAGACGACTGGGAAAAGAGAACGTGTGTGGACAGGGGCTCATCAGTCTAGATTCCGAATACTTGTTTCCTTCTGATTCACCATGTTCAGGAAAGATAGAGCATCTCGATTACTTTTTACTCTCTGTGTCCGTCTGGATGGTCAAGCAGATTTACTTAGTCACCTCCATCTTACGACTGTCCATTTTAGCTTTTGTAGACTTATAGGAATTCTGTGAAACAAGACAAAAACGGAGAAATTGTCTTTAGAGGACTTTACCACTCTCTGTACAACTATCATAGTACACCTAGAAGACCATATTTTCCTATTCACCTCTAATGAGGCTAGAAAAATTCCTAACTTAGCAGTGTTATGAGGACGAAGAAGGTGGTGTTATCATAGCCCAGCAAAGATTTTGAGCCTGACGTTGATACTACTAGCCGCACGCAAGCTTCAATCGATGGCCATGAAACCGCTATAATGCCTGACGATTACACTGTTCTACGTCCACATACGGATACTCCGTGTTCCTCTCAAGGCTCTCTCCTATTTGTTGGCTTACAGCTCTGAGTAAGGATGCCGGAGACGAATTTTCACAACAAATAAACACTGGCCGTTAGGTTAGGTAGTTATTGCTAGTTGGCCGGAATCTGGTCGTATCACATTCAAACAGCAACAGTGCCTTGAACGTACTGCTCCCATTGTTATCGTGGCCCATCGGTTACCTGGTCTTATCTTTCGGTATTTGAAAATGCAAGAACTCCGAATACTTCCGTGTAGGTTAAGCGTCAGATAGTACTAAGCATACAGTCCGTTTTAATTGGCCTCCGATGGCTAATGAAAATATAAACTCTGGATTCCCCCCCGCCAGGTTCCATTCACGGGGTGTCTCACTATCAAACCCACGCTCCTCTCCTTAACCGCTGCACCAGTGAGTTGTCCACCAATCGATATCGAACTTGGACGCAGAGGCTGACGTCGCGTTTCCCTCAACCTTATATGCGTAAGCCGCTTGTGCACATTAAGGTCTCGCACTGACTCAGGGTAGTCAGTTTCGAGGGACCAAATGCCTAAACAACTGGCATATGTGTTCAGGAACTTGCAAAGTTTGAGGAAAACAAGTGAATGTGAGGCCACGACTCCTGCAGACTAAGGTCGACCATGAAGGAAAACACAGACCGTCATTGTACGGTACAAATTCAGCGATCGTTTAACGCGTTTCACGACTCCAACTTGATTCATCCTCTGTAAAACTACACGTCTATTCCGCAAATTGAAAGTTTTGGACTTGCAGTGGAAGCAGGCAGTCAAAACGTACTTTAGTCTGATTAAAATTCAACTGGTGAAGCATTTCCACGCAGTTCCTTGCATGTGGTTGTGGTGCAAAAACGCATCGATCAACCACCAGCATAACAAACGAATGCTACCTTTTTCACAGTTTAAATGGCAGAAAGATGCCGGTTACTGAAACGTATCCAAAAGAAAACACACAGAGACTTCCATTGGCGGTTCAGTAAAAATTCCTAACGACCACCATCTTCATCATAGTCTCTGTTGGTAGGGAAATTTGTCCTATTGCAGCCAATACCTCCAGGCAAGTTCAACCAGGGACCGCAGAGCATAGTTTACATGTCACCGAAGAACTGAGATAAGCCGTGACTCACTGGCCCGTGATGAGTGGCTCGGCCCGATGACGGTATGGTTCCGAATAGCACCTGAATTCGAAGGTGGACGTCCCTACTCACGCTTCCTTTACACCAGCTTCCAATTCTGAAATTTCGTCAAGCAGTCATCTGGTGTGGCCTTATCTGGTCGCATTCTGCATACCATAACACCGTTGCAGCCTATGGCTTTCTTATAGGCAACCATTTTGAAAGATCGATGCCCAATCACATCTGATGGTGATACAACTGGATTGTCCACAGATACTTATTGGCTGGCCACGAAGGTCTGTCGTGCAGGGTACAGTCTCAAAAAGCCACGGACGAGAGCCGGGTGAAGTCAGGGCTCCCACCAAAAACTTCGGAGCATTTAGGAGGCATCTTCAAGGTATTACTACGGAACTGCCACCAAACGCATAAATGAGACTGGTCGAACAGTGCCACCGCAAAGGGAGTCCCCGCAAACGGCACCCCGTATACACCTTATCGTTTATCATGTTGTGCATAGTTGAGAGCGGTATAGTGAACTTATGTTTTATCATACTTATGCAAGACAGAAGAAGTTACTGACTGGCCACTGACTGGAACGTGGTGAATGTACATCCTTCTTGCATCACGTGAACTCCTTTTGGCGGCTTCCACAACCTGGATATAGAAGGGCCTCTGTAGATGTTTGACAGGAACCTCGGTAGACGTATAGTAGGTGTGCTAACTCATTAAATGTTGACCGAGATTATAAATTGCGTTTTCAACTCGAAAAAATTACTTAACTATGGTTGTAACATTAATTACCGTGGGGCATAATCCCAGGATATTTCAGTTACTTCAGAATGCCTGCTTTTGAATGAACTTCTTCCTGGCCGCATGCAAAAACTACACTTTGTAAAAAATTTTCAGTAATGATTTTAAGTGTCATTATAAATTTAAATATATTACACGGAAAACATGCATAAAAATATTCATTCATTTAATCATTTAGTAGAAAATCAGGTCTTATTTAGATTTTTTACTGGAATGAAGGGCAGGACTCGGTCTGAAAGAACTTTCCAATTACCAAATTATTTTGAAGCCGGCCTGCCGTTACACTTGCATTCGGGGTTTCCAAACTATAGGCTGCATATTTTCCTTTCACGGAAAATCATGCATTCCTAAATGCTCTTAAGAGATCATATGAAGTTGATAAAATCTTGCGGCGGACTTGAACCATATTGTATAGCTTAGAAGCAGCATTAGTAAATGCAGAAACATGATGTTTTATGAACGGGCATTTCACGGTCTTAAAAATCTCATAACGGAAAGTTTCTTCAAAACCGAATTATACCCTTCCTTTAAATATGCAATGTGAATAAGAGGTAATTTTCTGCCAAATCAGTAAAAGAATAAATATTTTCATGCATATTTTCTACAAAATATAGTTGAATTTACAAGTACATCTAAAATCAATGCTAAAAATTCATACTACTGAGTAGTCATTTTTACCGAGTGTAGTTTTTGCAGGCGGTCAGAAGAAAATTCATTCAAAAGCCGACAGCCCGAAGTAACTGAAATATATTGAGATTATGCTTCACGGCAATTAGCATCACAACCC